AGGCCTAGGAGAGGTTAGACTAATCGGTAGGCCTAAGAGATAATAATCTCCAAAATTATTAGTATATTTCCATCTCCTTCTCCTTTTATTTTTTCTTTGGGGGCCTTCATATAAGCTTAGAAATCAGAAGCCTAAGTGTCGTTATTGAATGAAGTTTAGAAAAAGATAAAAGTTTCGCATCCCATCCCAAAAATAATAGATTTTTTTTTTCAAATCGAATAAATATAAAAATTTTAGATTGAAGATGTAGATTTAAAAATAATCAATTTGAGACTTAAGTAGAGATTTTTTTAATTAGATTGAATTTGACAAAATACGAACTTCAAAAAATAATTTAAAATCTTAATTAGATTTGTACCTTATAAAATTTCAAGTGGGTCTCCCCAATTTGATTCATATCCAAATCCAACTTCCAAACAAAATCAAAATATATATTTAAATTTTAAAACAAAAATGGAAATCCTACCTGCCAAATCTTGTTTTCACCAACAACCAAATATGAAGAGCAACCATATTTTTATATTGAAAGAAAAGAAAAGAAAAAGATAAACCAAAAGTTATGAAGAGCAAAAACATGTTGCTGGGCAGAAAGAGAAGAGATGGAAATCAAAAGCCCAATATTAGTACTGGGCCACAAGGCAAACCAATTTCCTTGCACTATGGGCTGACATTTGTCTGGGTGAGATCGTCAAGGAGATAGATCCAATCCAACTTCTATAACAATTCCCAAGCCATCAATTTACGACACCAATTCCTTAACAACAAATAGTCAAAATTATTTTTTTTTGCATTTTTTCTCCCTAAATAAAAGAAAATTGGAAAGAAATTCAAATTTATTTTTCTATTTTATTTTTATAGCCAATTATTTTCTTTGTCAGTGTTCTTTTTTTTAATATATATTTTATAATGAGCTCATTAGCCTGCACATAGATGGGCTTTGCATTGAATTGGAAATTAATGAGTTAGTAGACCACTAAGATCAAGGTTAATCGGCTACCAGCACAAGGTTGGCTGGTTTTTTTTTTTTTTTTTTTTTGTGGGAGAGGGGGGCGGGGACAAAAAGAGCCAAAGCCAGGATTACAAGTGTTAAAGAATAAATCTACAATCTTATATGAAATCCACTTCTTAAATTGTCTTAAATTTAGGGTTTAATACTCCTTTTATATATATATATATATAAATGTGAATCTGTTAATACATCGTTTTTGCGTTTGGGTTTCAAAATATAGCTTTGGGCGTAAATGCTTTTGAACGTATTTTTATTTGTATTAAAAACATTTTTTGACAGCTAAAAGCACTGCCCACCACTTCCTTTTTTTACTTCGGAAATATTTTTCTTTTTTACCCAACCCAAATAGTGGGTGTGGCCAATTCTAATAACTAAAATTTACTTAAAAAAAAAAAAAACTCAATCCACGTTGAAAATAGACTCACCCTAGTAATATTTTGGGTTCATAATTTCGTACATAAAAAAATAAATAAATAAACAAAAAGAAAGAAAGTAACACTAATGACAGCTTCCAGTCCTTGAAAGTAGAAATACGTATGTTTGTGGAAGAAGCCGTTTATCGATTTTGTTTGGGACCCAATGGTGGATTTAATTGGAAGAATGCAAAATAAAGGTTTGAATCTCGTGAACCCAGGAGCAAGCCGGTCCCAGCTAATTGCTAAGACATGAACAAGAACCAAGTCTTTCTATTTTGTCCTTTAACAAGCAACAACCAGATCTTCTAGTCTATTCATAATTCACGGGTCTGCTCATGTCCCTTTACAAAATTCCAAAGCTTCCAGTCAGATAATAAATCCAGCCTATCCATCTTCCAAAACAGACCTAACATTTGTTGCCGTCCCTCTTCATCATTACCCTCTTTTGCAGCTGTTTAATAATTTATGTCATGGGATCTGTTCTTCATACGTTAAGCCTTCTTTTTCTTCTTCTTCTTCTTCTTTTTTGTCGCAGTACTTTTTTGGTTAGTTGCTGATATATAATGCATAGATACTTCTCATATTATATATATATATATATATATATATGTTGCCAAGACATTTCTTTCTCGTGCATGCAATTCTATGCATGTGACTTCTTATACATATGTATATGAATTGTAGAGTTCAATCTTCGGAATTATTATTATAAATTATATATAAAATAATATAAAAGATATCCTCTCATACTCTACAATTCAAGTGTTTAACAATAAATGTTCTCCAGGCCTTGGCGACTGTTATTTTTCTATATACCATAAACGAACACTAGGTGGTTTTATTTTTCTCTATATCTTTGTTCGTTGGTGGCCCCCAATTGTGCTGAAGCTCTAAAGAAACGTGATCGAAATTGCCAATATTTAGTGATAAAATATTTTAATTTGTTCGAGGTTGAATTGCATTTGCAATACCAAAAATATTCACCGCTTCAACTACACTTATATGATTATTATTATTATTATTATTATTATTATTATTATTATAACATACATAATTATAAGATAGTAATAACTGATGTGGACACTTAGGTGAATTTTTTTTTTTCAACACGTAAAATAATTCTTAAAATTTTTTATTATGATGACATGTAAGATATTTATTAATTTTAAATTATTTATAAAAAATATATTTTAAAAATTAGTAAATTATCTAAAATTTTAAAATTAATTCAAAAACTAATTTAAATTTTAATAAAATTTCTTTTTTCTGTACGTTACCTCATCTCAATTTAAAACTAATTTTAAACCAATTGATCTTTTTTAACTTATTTGGAGTTAATATGAATATTTAAATTTATCACAACTTTTAAAAATATTATTTAATATCTTTAATATTTTTTGTAAATAATCTCTACATTATCTTTAATTTTTAAATGTATTACACAAAGGAAATGTGAAACAAATATATAAATACTAGAACAACTTTATGAAAGTTTCTCTTATACATCACCTCATCTCAATTTAAAATTAATTTTAAAGTAATTTATCTTTTTTTAATTTATCTATAGTTAACATGAACATTTAAATTTATCACGACTTTTAAAAATTTTATTTAATATCTTTAATATTTTTTATAAATAATCCTTACATTATCTTTCGTTTTTAAATATATTTCACAAAGGAAATGAGAAAAAATAAATAAATGCCAAAACAACTTCAAAAAAGTTTTTTTTATACATCAAGTTTCTCCTATACATCACCTTATCTCAATTTAAAATCAATTTTAAAGTAATTTATCTTTTCTAATTTATTTGCAGTTAATATGAATATTTTAAATTTATCATAACTTTTAAAAATATTATTTAATATCTTTAATATTTTTTATAAATAATTATTGCATTATCTTTAATTTTTAAATATATTTCACAAAAGAAATGTGAACAAAAATATATAAAAACTAGAACAACTTTAGGATAGTCCTTATTGTTAGTAGTTCTTAGTTATATAGTTTTTTCAATGTCTCATTAAGCTAAACATATTTTTTTTACTATTAATTTAATCTTTCTTTTTATTAGTCTATTCTTGCTATAGGAACTAACATACTTTTTTTTATAATAGATACTATTTCACTCAACATACTATTCACTATATCAGGAATGAGACACTATTTCAGTAATCATACTATTCACTTCATCATGTAAGATTTTTTTTTTTCAAATCAACTATAATATTTTTTTAGTTGTAATATTTTTTAAAAAAACTACAAAACTATAAAAACACATATATTCTTATATTTTTACCGATGTTGTCTGCAGACGTTTTATTTTTTTATTGATTATTCACTAAATCAGATAATATATTTTATCTTTTAATTGATTATTTATTCAATATTATTTATTCGTATAAAATAAAAACGAAACTTTGATTAATTAATGTAATAGAGCTATGTGCCCTAAACATAAACTTATGTATTGGCTATATATTAGTGAATAATTTCTCAACTCATATCTTCATTATGAAATATAAAACATAATTTCAAATCAAGAGATTATCTTTTATAAAAAAATAAAATTGAAAAGAAATAATTTAAAGATAATCTCATCAGTAGTATTAATTTCAAATTTATTTATATATTAGCTTAAAAAAACTCAAAACCATAAAAAATTTCACTAAAATTTGTGAAAAAAAAAGAAGATATGAATCCTATTATAACTTTGCAATTATAAATTAGAAAACTCCTCCTAGTCTTCATCAGAATTAAAAAAAAAAAAAAAAACTTAATTTATATTATAATTTGATGTTTTATTATATTATTTATATGTTACATGTATTTTAAATATATAAATAATTCAATATTATTAATTTATGTTTTTATTTAAATTTAAATAAAATAAAAATAATTCATGCATTGAATGGTATGCAAGCTAGTATTTAATATATAAACAAGTTTAAGTAATGACCTTAATTTACGCCGCATGGTGAGCAGCCAATTATTGCTAGCTAGCTTAATTTGCCTTCCTTGTTACTGTTGGCCAGGTTAATTTTTGTTTATTGGAACTCTCTTTCCAATGGAACACTCTTTAAGTTTTAAAGGTGGAAATCGAGCCTGAATATTTAAGCCATATAAATATTTCTACAATCGAATTATTAGATATTGTGTATAAAAATTTAATAAAATTAATTTAAAAAATTAATTAACTAACAAATTAACGTGTACTTATAATTAGATTATATATAAAAACATATGAAGTGCAATATTAGCCAAGTGAAATCATGAGAATAGGAAACCATTGTCATCAAAAGCAAGAGCGAATCCAGAGGAATGGTAGAAATTTTGTAAAAAAGAAAACAAATTAATACATGAATTGAATCATTTCCAATTTGAATCAATTCTAATTATAAATTCTAACTTGAAAGGTTGAATTATATTTAAATAGAACATAATTGAGAGTTTTGTTGTCATTCTTGAATTTATTTGAGAATTTATCTTCGTTACATTATAATTAATCAATTATAATTTAAAATTATATAAAATTCATTAAAATTTAATACAAAACACAAGGTTATAAGCTGTGAACTCCTTAATAATTTTTATTACAATTGAAACAAATGTAAAGTTGTAATAAGTAAACTCAGAGTTTAACTAAATAAACTCGGTTTCAGTTACAAACCAAAAAGATACAGCTTACCTTCTCTTAGTCACGAAAAGAAAACCGAAAAATTCAAAACTACCCACACCAAAAAAACACTACAAAAAAAAAATTCAGACTTTCCACAAGAACTGTACAAAAAAATCAAAATCAAACAAAGCATTCAACATTAATCACCAGCTAATCAGAAATTATACATTTGTTTTTCATTCACTGATTAATTCGTACCCTTTTCTGCATAACTATTAACCAACGCCAAAGCATTGCTCGTAAACTTCTTCACTTTCAGCGCCCTCTCGCACACCTCCGTCTTCATCGGTCCCTCCGCCACATCCTCGAACCCATCCGTACACGTGTCCTCGTCCGTCAAAGCCGCGCTCATCCACGTCTGAACGTTCCCCATTTGGAACCTGAAAGACTCCGAACCCGGAGCCACCAGCTGTCGCATTTGCTTCAAGGAGCCACGGATTTCATCCACCGCATCATCCATGTTGGAGAAACAGTCGTGTAAGGCGGCGGTGGCCCGTTGGTCGGCGCCGTAGTCGGCTTCACGGGATAGGTTAGAGACGTAAGCTGCCAAGTGACGGGCTTTAGAGAGGCTGATAACAATGGCGACACGAGCTAGACGAGCTGGGTCTTGTTGGACAGCGTTGGCATAGCCAGAAAGGGAAGTGTAGCAAAGGTCAGGGTACATGGTGGCGGAGCAGCTTATACGGATGAAATCCGTGGCATTGGTGGCCCTAGAGTCGTAGTCGGCGGAACTGAGAGTTGGGATTGGGTGGATATAGACGAAGAGGAAGGTTAGGAAGAGGAGGGGTTTCATGGCTAAGGTTTAAACGTCTTTCAGTAAAAAAAGCCGCAAGGTTGTTGCTTTGGTGGGGGTGAAGGCCGTTGGAATGGCTTTTGTAGCCTCTTGACCGGAACTTAAATTACTTTTGTAACCTTGATATTTTGTCGATTTACAGGAATGCCACTTTTCTGTTTTCGTAGTTTGCTAATTATATCGGTGTGTGCCAGACACACCAGGAAATTATGCATGGAATTGTGCCGGAAAACCAAAAAGGTTAAAAATAAATAAATAAGTAAATAAAGGTCGTTTTATAATAAAATAAGATACCAACAGTGCAAAGGGATGTAATAACCAGTGTCTGTACATTGTGTTTACAATATTATTATTACATAAAAGATTTTTTTATTTCAATTTCTGGATTATACTTATCAAACTCCATAGAATTACAAGATTAATTTCAATACACATCATTTTAAAAAGTGCTAACAGACATTTAATTTAGATTTTCAAAATTGACATAAACTCAGTTTCTTGACAGGCTTTGGATTATAAAATTTAGATTTGATTATCATGAGGAAATCTTTATATGTACTTGGGATATGTATGACGAAAACAAAGGAAGATCTAAGGGAGAAATGAAATCTACATCTGATAAAATCATGATGGTTCTCCATATTAACACTAGGTCCAGTCAATGCCTATTTTTTCGAATCGGGTCAATGCTCTTCTATCTTTCTTTTTCTTTTTTGGTTACATTATATGAATTTTTCATCCTCAATTAACCCAAAAAAATTGGAATAATGTGCAATTACTCATGATCACGATTTGAACAAAGTGCCAATAAGCAACATTTGGTTAAACTATTGGTAGAATAATATATTTTTAATTTCATTAACTAAAATTCAACTTTTAATGATTTCAATTATATATAAAAAAAATCAATCAAGTGAAATTATATTAAAAATTTTCAATTTTACCATCAAATATTAGTTCTAGACAAAATTTCACTCAGATGGATTAACATTAGAATTTAAAAATTTACCATGAACTAAATGGACCATCACTCTTAACTCTCATTTAATTGATATTAATTAAAATCTATCAATATTTTAGTGTTTGATTCAATATCGAATACATGTACTTTTAGTTGAAAGAGCTTGATTTGAACATCGCATCTTCCGAAATTGTATACTATCCCCATAATTAAATTGAACTGTATGAAAATTAATTAGTGTGGGTCTGTAAAGCTTCTAAGCCACAAATTTTAAAGAGCAAACAAGACAAAGTTAGCTCTCTTCTACCCATCTACGGAAAAAAACATGCTAAGGAAAGTTTGGTTCATAAAATCTTAAATTTTAAAAGAAAATGCGATATCTAAAAAAGTTTAATATTTGAGATTTTGTTTAATTTTTAAAGTATTTTTTAATTAGATTCACTTGTTTAATTGTGAGAATTTTAGTTTATTAGTTCATATATAATTATCATAATCTCTTTGATAAATTATAGACAACCTTTTATATTATTTTAATAAAAAAAATCCAAACAACAAATAATGTTTTTAATAGCAAAATAATTTTTATTTTTTAAATTAAATATACTCAATTATGACGTTTAATTAGACATCAAGCCGTAATTGTTGTATTAAAATATAAAAAAAATCAATTATGATGTTTGGAAGAGTTTAATGCCTTATTTGTTTTTGTAAATATGTTAAAAAAAGTATCAAATAAGCCGTTTGTTCAAAAAAATACCTTATTTGAATTTGTAAAAATTCTAAAAAATCATCTATAAAATAAAATGTTTGTAAAAAAAAAAAAAGCATTATTTGAATATGCTTTATAAATATGTTGAAAATATCATCAAACAAAACGTTTTTCAAAGAAACGCCTTATTTTCTTTTATAAAGGTTTTGAAAGAATGTTTATCAAATAAGATGTTTGCTCAAAAAAATACTTTATTTCTTTAAACAAACGTCTTATTTGACATATTTAAATAAAACATTTCTTTTTTACAAAAACTTATTTGATATTTTTATAAAAATTTTGAAAAAAATATTAAATAAAGCATTTGTAAAAAAAGAAAATGCCTTATTTGAATGCGTCAAATAAGGTATATGTTTCAAAGAAACGTTTTATTTGATACTTTTACAAATATTATGACAAAAGTATTAAATAAGACTTTTTTCGAAGAAATCACCTTGATTGATTTTTTTTCTCAATTTTAACGTTTATTAGTATAAATACTGTAATTGATGTCAAATAAAAAAATTTAATTATTCAATTAAGGCGATTGTTTTACACAAACGCAACAAACGTCATAATTGAAAAAATTTAAAAACATAAACGTATTCAATTAATCATTCATGAACCTTGAAATACCTTAATTGATTATCAATTAATACATTTTTTCTTTGAAACGTTTTAATTATCACATATTAAAATTGAATTAAAAATAAGGTAAATTAAAAAAAATTAAAACTGAATTTCATACTTACTTTTCAAAAGAGTAAAAGATATATAATAAATTTTTTATTTAGATCAAATTTAAAAATAAAATAACTTTCAAAATTTGAAGTTATTATCGGGAGATGTGAGTTTTTGTTTCTGAAACTTTGAGTATTGTTAAGAATATGATATTTTTCTGATAATCTAATTACTCTTAATCAAACATGAAAAATAAATATCTATCATTAAAATTTCGAGAAAAATTTGTAGATTTTTTTGAACCAAATGCACTTAAAAAATAATTAATAATGTGCTTGTAATTTTAGTTAGAAAAGAGGGTAGTTTGCAATAATAAATAATGTATAATTAACAATTTGAAAAGGAGAAGTCGCTCGTGCAAGTGTGAAATTGCTTCAAATGAAAAAAATATTATTCGCAATGGCTTTTGAATTGCGGTTGGCTGTAGCCTGTAGGTGGTGCATCCACCAAGCAATTAATGATCAGTCGACATTGGCCTAAGCCTCAATCAACGGCTCCCAATAAGGAGCTGCCGAGCAATGATTCACCATCCTCGACAATGATTGATGCAAGTGAGATCAATCACAAGGCAACTACGGCACTTATGGATGGACAATAACAAATTGTGGCTTGCTGCCTAATTGTTAAGGCAAATTGTACACATTTAATTGAAGTAGTTAAAAGTACAATGCACATTGCTCTTATCTTTCATTTTTCTTAATTGGATTTTGGCACACCTATTATACAGGTGAGGGAAAAAAAGTTGCAATAATTACAAAATTATTGGATTTTTTTTCAACTGAATGTTTGAATATTTTCAAAAAATAAAAAATAAAAATAGTTTTTGAAACATTTTAAAAAGTTAAAAATATTTAAATTTTATATTAAATGATATTTATATCTTTTATTTCATATATTTGTTTATGGTTATGGTTTCCATTCATTAAATGAGTTTAGCGATATCAAACTTAATCAGCCACTTTATTAATAGTAAGTATAGATATGTAATTTCCAAACTATGAAAACGTAACACTTCTTTGTTATCCAAGCATTTAGCTCAATAATGGTATACATATAAGCTTATAGAATTAAATTTAATTTTAAAAAATAAAATAAAAATTTATAATGTTAATTTCATGAAATAAAAAAATAAAATTGTTAATTTTATTTTTGGTGAAATTTCAAAATTTATTGGAATATTATCACATAAAAATATTATGTACATGAGGTGTAAAAAACATAATTAAATATTCTAGCGGGGACTTTTTTTAAAATTGAAAAATTGGAAAGTAGTGACTTCCAATACTTTTTCCATAGTGGGAAAATGGGGGCACTAACTGATTTTAGCCCACCACACTTTGATTGTAGTCGGTTTTAGGAGTTTAGTTGGGAGGTTAAAGATTTTACACACTTGCCCATTTCCCCAACTATACTGAAGCGTGCAACTTTTTCTGTAGCTTTAACCGACTGTAGGGTCCCTCAGCCATTTTGTCCTGCGTGATTCCCTTGGTTTAAACATCTTTTTTCAGCACTCTGCTGACCTGGAGATTGGAGAATGGACTCCGCTGCTTGGGTTGGTTGCTGGTGCTATAAGCATTTAGACTCGCCTCATGTGCCGAGGGTTTCTTTGAAAACAATGTGAATTGTCAAAATCTTTTGTATGACCATGATAGAGTATACAAATGAAAATTTTCATCATTTTCCTATAGCTAGGTCTGCACGCATCAAAAAGGCAAAGGAAATGATCTCAACTATTTCAAGCATGAGATAGAATGCAAGCACATGTGAATTCATTCTTTTGTTTGAGAAAAATAGAATGTAAGTATCATTGTATCATACGCTTAAACGCATGCAAAGAGGAAACATTTTGTATTTATGAGTAGGCAGTAGGCGGACCCATACTTTAAGGTAGAGTATTTACGCACATCTCAAAATTTGAAAAACAAAAAAAAAATTTGTTTGAACACTTCAAAAATTTTTTTGAACATTTTTTGTCAACAGAATTGATAAATCAATCGATAATTTTTAATTGACTGATTGTTTAAATAATAATGTATTTAATAGTACTAGTAATAATGCAATTATGTTTTTTTTTTTTTAAATACGATAACTTATTATAAATAATTATAATAATATAGCAGTATATTTTAATTTTTTATATATTATAAATAGACACTTAAAAAAAATTTTAAATTCATCACTGTATTTATTAAAATTATAATCAGGTCGGACATGAAGTATGCTTTGCAAATATTCAAAGAACAATAAATCAACAAAAGAAGAGCAATTAATTAAACAAAAATGAAAAACAGTTAGTTGTTAAGGTAAAGGTAAAGGATAAAAATTTTCAAATCATTTGACAAAAGCCAGCCCAAAGCACATCACAGTTTCACGGACTGATCGGCGTAATTGACTCTATTTTTTTCCAAGTTAATGATTTGTGGACACGAATGGGGAACATAATCTTGATTTAAAGCTTGTAATGAATCTAAACAGATAGGAAGTTCGAGGCCATAATACTTCATGATCTAGTGGTTTAAATTTATTTAGTTTCAAAAGAGAGGACAACTTGACAATCATTGAACCCAAAGCTTCGGTTTGTTTTATGGTAAAGGATAAATGTCATCCATGCTGATCGATGTTCATCATGTTATCACAAAAAGCTGTCCCATTGGCAATCTCTAAAAAAACTGGCCCACCCTTTCCTTGT